CAGAAAGGCAATGGCTTGCTTCCCCTTGCGCGGTATACTATAGTTCAACTTAAAAAAAACAAAATGGCCGTTCAAATTTACCGTTATTTAAAGTCTTTTTTTTCCAAATTTTTGATGTCGGTTTTCTTCTACACCCCAGACTCTAGAAGCTTGAAATTTTAGGAGCTTTTAGATATTAATAAATAGTTCATTTTGTTAGAAGAAAATTTTTTTCCATCTCCACCCCCTCTCAAGTTATCACCTCTTGAAATTCGTAAAATTTGAATTTTTGACACCTTATATTTCCGAAACCGCAAGCTTTTCCAAATTTTTATAAACGCAAAAAGCTAACGGTAAATTCCATGAAATTAAAAAATATAATTATTTTTCTTAACTCACACAATTAACCCTTAAAATCGAGCATTATGTTAACCCCTTTTTATATTAATTTTTGCTTTATTTCAAAGACTGCATATATGCGTCATCCTAAATATATGCAATCCTAGAAATAGTTTGTATTTGAATGAAAATAATTTTAATAGTGTGATAGCTATACATAGACTGTATTTAAAAGCAGAATTTTCACTTGTTGAAGGGAAAAGTGCTACAATACAAACCATTGGTTTGACCCAACTTTATTTCTCTTGTATTTTCTTATTAAAGTTTGAAACATACATTCATACGTACATATACATATGTACATATGTGATGGTAACATATTAATTCGATTTTCTTCCCATATATTTTATAAAGAGTAAATAAAGTTTGCCCCGTAAAACTCTTAAATCACTTTTAAGATCACAAAATTTTTGTTTTGATAAAAAGAATTAAAGTATTCATGATCCCTTTACAAATTTAATTTGTACGAAAAAAAAACAAAAACAAACATAACAAACAAATAAATAATATTTGTGTTTATATATATATAAATGGGTTTCCAGTATTGTATGAGAATAAAAACAAAGATATTTCTGATATTTCTCTGAATTTATTCTTTGAAAGCATATTTTATTCTCCTCTTTATAATGAAATACCTAAACACATATATACATCACATATATGTAATTGTTTATGTTCCTTGAAACGTGAAAAACAATTTACTTTTCGAAAAAATAAAAAGGAAAAATATTTGCCAAGGTTTTTAAGGCACATTTTATTCATTTTAATTTAAAATTTCTCCTACTTTTTCATTTGTATATACATGCATAAATATATATATTTATATGTTTAAATAAATTATTTGCAAACGCCGGTTTATGAAAATATCGAATTTTTCGTATATAATCTACACATATACTTGCGTATATTATGTGCATATGTAAATAATAATAATTAGTAAAGTTTAATTTAATTTTTTTCATATCTGAACATCTTTTTAGCATCTTATTAAAATTAAATTTATTCAAAAAACACAAAAAATTAAATTGAAAATGTTGGTTAAGAAATGTTTTTTAATAGAAAATTTAGAATACATTTATAAAAGGATATTAAATCTAATAAATTCAAACCATTCCTATAGGTTATTAATTTAATTTTAAAATGAGAGAAGAGAAAGTGGATCGTATCAAGTCTGTTATACCCGTAGAAAAGATTTCTTTGATTTCTATTAACATTTTAGTAGAATATTTGTACTGTTATTAAACTTGTTGTAGACTTTAAAATTTAGCCTTTAAACTCATTTGTCAAAAATTCGAAATTTGTCAGTAGTTTTCAAAATTATCAAAATTATTTCAAAGTTGTATATGAGCTATTGTAACAACTTATACCCGGTACAACCCATTATTGTAAAAACTTAAACAACTACAACAAAATTTTGCCGAATTATTGACCCTGGCTATCAAAACTGTTTATGTAAAATTTAGTAGCTCTATATACTTTCCGTTTTTTATGTTATGACTAAATTATTTTTGTACTTATTTTTGTAATAGCTATCATACCTATTTAAACAGGTACTTCGATCGAACTCAAATTGAATAGAATTCTTAACATATTTTTAATAAGCAATTTATGGATATTTAGTTAACCTAACTCTCGTGTTTTTGAGCTACTACGACCGATGCATGGACAGAATTCTTGAAACTATACAATGTCTATATCTTGGACAACTTTTTCTTAGCATTAAAAAAGGGAAGGTAAGTTTTCATTATCTTTGGAGCATTCATTTGTATGCGAGCTTAATAATTTCGATTTATCACAGGTTTTTTAAAACAAATAATAATAACGCGAACTTTAAGTTTGCTTTTGCTTTGACGTATGAGTTTTAATTAAATTTTAAGATAACACTACCGCATTAGGGAGCACAATGAATAAAAAATTCTAAATAGAAATAAAATTCCATTGAATTTTAATTCAAAAATTGAAAAACAGAACGTTTTTTAAAAGGATAACAAATATTTGACTAATTGTTTGTATGAAATAAACACGGGGTATGAATTTTTACAGGATCAAAATAATTTAGTGGTAGTTTTCCAAAAATTTTCTAAAAATAATTTATTGTTAAGTAATATTCTAAAAATTTGGGTTCAAATTGTTGATTGATTCTAAGTATGTATTGCAATAAAGAGACTTTTATCATAAAATTTCATTTCTCTAGTTATTAATTTTTAACCCGTTACCGAAATGATACACGGAATTCATATATCCGCCCACATGCATGTTTATTTTATATTTGCTGAAAATTGGAAGAAGAATTAAGAGGAATTTGTTTTGAAAAATTTTAAATATTGATTATTTTCGGATGTGATAACTATATAAATAAATCATTTATTAATAGCCATCAGCTGTCAGAATTTAAGACAGAAATTGATTCAAAATAGGTATTCATTTAAAGTGGAATTTTTTCATAATAATTTTTGCCTACGCTAGTTTTACAGTAAAAGAAGCATAAATCTATTTCATCTCAATTTATTCCAGAAACAGATGAAAAAATTTTGGAAAGTTTTTTTGAAAAATTTTGTCATGAAAAGCCTGACATGGCCTGCTATCACATGGCCTAGTGATTCATATTTTATTTCATTTTCAAAATGTTATGGTACCTAAAAATAAGTATTTTTTATATTTTATCCGCCCCTGACTTTATTCTTATGCATATTCAGGTAGATTCAGGTAATATTTTCCTATATAGGCCTGAAAATAAAATTATAAATATAAAATTGTCAAAATTTGATTCACCCGGATTTTTAGAGATTTTCTAAAATAAATAATGTGAACAAGCAACTGAACAGTGACTTATACATCATATAGAGCTATAACATGTTAATGACCTATTTATTGGAGAAAAGGAAAAAAAATTTGACTAAAAAGCTACTATGTTGGGATACAATGTTGATTGTCATTGGAATGGAAGTTTAAAAAAAAGGAAAATGAAAAACCAGTTTTAAATTAAAATTTTTATCTTAAAAACTATACAAAGACACAATTTTTTTCAAGTCAATTTCAATAAAATACGTGTGTATATCAAGTTATCTTAAATATATAAAATAATAAAAAAAAATAAGATTATATTCCCGCAATTCATGATAAAGTGCTCTACTTGTATTTGTGAGGATGAAAAGTTACACAATATCCTTTTTTTTTATATTCTTGTTATATAAGAACTTTATCATTTTCATTTTTTCTCCCTTAAAAAAATTATTTTGTATTAAAATACTGAAAAAAAAAATTAAATAAAGAAATAAGATCTGCAAAAGATTTCACATTTCTATTGGGGATTCCAATGAAAATGAAAAGAAAAGTCTGAGAAAATTTTCTTCTTATTCGTACGTACATTCATACATTATTACAAAGGAATGTTCTTCTTCTTCTTGTTGTTTATAGAAAAATGATATGGCAGTATACGTTTTGACTTCGTTGATTTAATAAATAGTCAAGCAGCAAGAGAAGAATATAACAAAAATGATAAACCATAAAAATGATTTTGCCAAGTAAGCAATTTTCCTTTTCTTTTAACAAAACAAAAAAAAATATCTTAAAAGAAAATCAGTGAAAGAGGTTCGCAATTTATATCATCGCTGTCCTTTTTAACACACAATGATGACACAATAAGAATGAATTAAAAGATGATATTTATATTACATAATACTTTGTATATAATATGATTATGTACTGAAATAAAAAATTTCAAAATGGGTTAGCATTAATCGATGTTAAGTGCCTTCTTTTCTTAAAATTGTTTTTAACTTGACCATTCTTGCAATGTAGCATGTACTAGTGTCTCAAACACTTAAACTAAGTATGTGATGCTCTTAGAATAGAATTTTAAGAATATAAAATTGTATTTATTTTAAATACCCGTCTGTTACATTGGAAGTAAAATACTCAGATTTAAAATAAGAATATTTTCAATTGCAACAGCGGAACTGAACTAAAAAAATCGAATGTACGCCAAATAACCGATTGCTAATGTGTATTTTCTGAATAATATCAAAAAATTCATATTGATTCGTTCTTATCGATTTCCAGTACGCGTTTCACAAGATTTTTGAAAATCATTTTAAATACTTATTTCAAATTAAGTAATACTAGTAACCTTCAAAGTATTCCATAGCTCTAAGAATTAAATTTGGTTCATTTGATAAAGAGATCAATTACTGTTACCCAATTTCATTGGAAGTTTTTTTTAAAAATAGCCTATTTACGCTTTGCTACCATAAAAATATGCTACCATCCATTTCAACCGAAAACTCGACATGCAAAATTTAGTCCCATTACATCACCTCTCCTTTTGTATGCCGTACAGTAAAACGACTTATTATTTGTAATGCGATGCAGTACAACGACACATAATTAATGCAACTGACAATTGAAAAATAATAACAGTTTCATATAAAATATTTTAATAAAGTAAATTGCAGTGTCTACATATAAAAATCTTGGAAAATGTTAAAATAACTTAAAAAACCCTGAATTATACAAAATTCTACAAAATTTTCAACAAATGAATTATGAATTTGGAATGAAACCTTTAAAATTTTTTACAACATTCATTCATTTTTCAGCTAAACAAAAAATGTTAAAGTAATCTTATTAAAATGAAAGCGTTCTGAGTTCTAATATTTCCCAAAGCTGTTAGAATTAATTACATGCACTGTTACAACTATAAATTTTAATACAAATGGTATAAGTCGACGCTGAAATACGTAGAACAGTCGGGAAGTGTATTTCAACAAAAATTTAATTCGCCAAATTTAGTGGAGTCATATAAAATCTCAATCTTGAACAAATCCGTAAACAATATGTTGAACTTTTTTTTTTAAATAATGTGTTAAGATTTGAAAAATTTAAGATTGAACACTGATTTTATTTTGTTTTCAAAAATTCCCCCTTTCTAAGTGTTTTATTAGTTCACCACCTGGGTGTGGCCGCATCACTAGCATGTAGATGGATTTTCCCATTCCCCATATGTTACATATTTCATACTTCACTGAAATTCCTCCAACCATATGACAAATACAATAAAAGGGCCATATCCCAAACAAAACTTTTCCAGTTTTCTATTATCTAGCAATTATTGTCTCAACAAATTTTTGAATCAATGAAATAAAAAAAAAAAGATAAATTAGTGAACAAACATTAAAAAGACATATCAAAGAAACATTCCCGACTTTTCACCGGCTTCAAAAAGAACTCTTCCTTTTAAGTAAAACCCGTTTAAACGTTTCATTTCGCATTATAAATTAAGAAGTCTAATTGCACACCTAATCTAATCAAATCTAACCTAATTATTGTCTATCTAATTATCATGTACCAAGCAATCTAATTTTCATAGAAAATTACTTAAAATAAAGTGAAATCTCACAAAGAGTAGGTCGTTAATCAACTTTTTTGAGCTTTTTAATAAAATATGCAAATAAAATGTACATTTATGCATGGATTGGCATTTTATGCATATTATTTGAATGTAACTCAGATCTTTTTACCAAACGAATAAAAATATTTATTAGCTCTATTAAGTAAGGTATAAGAAATTATGCAAAATAGATAAAAAAAATTTACAAAGCATCTGCAACTGGCATTCATAAAGTCATTAGTTATCCTCGAAATGGATGTTAAAATCAGAAGGATTTGTTACGTTAATAAAAAAGAGTTACGTCAAAGAAGTTCAAATGCGAAAAAAACGTAAAAAAAACAAGGAAACCTAACGAATCTGAACATTTTTCAAATACGAACTTGATTTCACGTTTTTCTTCTTTTTTGCTTTTTGCACAATAACTCAAAGTAAAAACTAAAAATCTATTCAACCATAAAAAGAAAAACAGTAGTTTGTTTTTAAAATAAACAAGAATTTTATAATATTAAAAGAATTTTTTTGTAAAGAAAAATACCCTTCCCTTATTTCTATGACTCTAGCTTACTTAAAATGAAAAAAAAGCATCAATTTAATATTATTATACCTTTATACTCTACCTTGTGCAATAAACTTTCAAGGCTGTGCAAAAACTTACCTGAAAAAAAAATGAAAAATTTTATTTTTAACATAATTAAAAAAAATAAATGTGTTTTGTTTTCAGCATTTTAATATTCTTAAAAATCATAAATATTTCAATAAAATGAAAAACGAAGGTTAAATTTTTAATTTTGACGACCTTTGCTAGGGTTTTTTCGACTGAACTGATATAACGTGCCCACCAAAAAAAAACAAAAACAATCTACAACTTCGTGCCAACAATTCCACTCCTTTTACAGTATTTGGTTTTTTAAAGTTATCTAAGTAAATTTCCCTCTTATTATTCGGAGCCGAAATAGGTAATAGACAACTGACATACAAACTATAAAACTGAAAGCTATAGTATATAACATCATATAATCATGCATGTACCTGACACAGACGCAGACTTAGACATGATTTGCGAATAAAATTTTAAACTTTTCCCTAAAAAAGGTAGTAAAGTTGAAGCACATGAGATATGGAGGAAATTCAAGTCTAAAAATTTATACTCGCTCAAAAATATTTATAGACGTAATGTGATTTAACTAAAAAAAACAAATTCTAAGACCGATTTCGTTTATTTATTCCAAAAATAAAAGAATAGAAGAAAATATTCAATGGCAGATTAATGAAGTCGGCAGAACGGAGTGAAACACACGAATATAATAAGAAATAAAAAGAACAGCAAATTTGCACTAATTTGTGAATTTTGTGTGTACCATTTTTGGATTCTGTTATTTCTGTTATTTAATTGGAAAAAAAAATCTTAATTCTTTTAAAATTAAAAAAAACGATTTGATATTTTAATCCGCAATTGATATCCCGATACAATTTGAATATTCTATCCTTGAGATAGAATTAAAAGAATGCACTTGAAATATTTAATAACATGAATAAAAACAATACAAGAAACAATGTTAGAAAATAATATTCTAAATTTTGACTCGTTCGGAATATTTAAAATATGTAAAATATGATTAAACGAAAACGCCGAAAGACAAATTGATAACAAAAAAAAATAAGATAAAATTTTTTATTTTTTTATATTTGCTGTAATTTACTAACAAAATATTTTTTAAAATGGCAGTGGGAAAATCGTAGAGAAAAAATAAAATGTAATTTTAGGTTTAGATTTAGATTGACGCGGCCATCCAAAGGTACACTTAGCCAAATTAGCCTCGTTGTAATTTCGTTGGATCTCCATATACACGCCATCACGCGAACTAGCTCAAGTTCTAAATAAACCGGTTTAAATGCCTAACATTTAAAATGTAAGTTAAAACTGTACAAACAAAATTTTTTACACTGCAATTGCAGTGTATAACGCATTAATTGAAAAAAAATCTCTTCTAACTAATTTTTAAAACTTTCCTAAAATAAATTGTAAAAAAATCCTTATTATTTTAACTCTTGCCGTATGTCTGTTTACAAAACTTTAACACGCTTCGGAAAGCTAAAATACTTATAAAGTAGATTTTTATTTTAAACTTATATCTGTAAAAGAAAAATATTTTACCTATCTTCCATTTTTTTAATGTTATATGCTCTCAAAGCCCGAAAAATGCCATTTTTAGGCTCTTATTGTATTGGAAGCTCAAACATTTTTCTTATTCCAAAAACGCAAAAAAGTAGCGAATGGTTATTTGTATGACACAGCCAAGTCAAATATTACAGTAACAAAATAACTTTTGAAATTTACCATCACCTAAAAATCGTTTTTTTCCAGAACTCGGAGAATATTTTTTCCATCTCCATCTCCAGCCATATTTGTATTCAGTTTTTCAGTTCAGTTTTTTATTTTTCCTATCCAAAATGTATGCAATAATTGGATACATTTTGAATTTAATTTATTATCTAGCCACATTTCATAAAGTACTACACTATTTGTTTTTAAAAGAACATAATATTTTCCATAATTACATCTCCAAAATAATGTAAGACAATATAAACTTACTTGTTCTATTAAAATCAATTTACTTTTCAAAAAATTGCTTAAACTAAGTTTTTTAACATCTTAGATGAAACTTAAATGACATAAGGTATGACAATATAATTCTACTTTCTTAAAATTCGCCTTAATTTCGTGGTAAACTTCAAAACTTTCAACAAAAAAAATGTTGCATAATAATTCAGTAATCATATATATGTATGTATTATGTTAATTGATACTACATATTTAAAATTTTTCTTGAAAAAAATTTAATTTAATTCAAGTTAATGCATAATACATGAATTAGAAAAATCTGGAATTTTACTACACACATTTACATTGAAAATTTTAAATTATCTTTTAAGCGGTTATAATAACCATAATCTTAAAATATTATTGTGCTATGACGTTTTAATACAATGTGTGACAGCCCTTTAATAAAAAATTACTTCAATAAAAATCATAACTTTTCTACATTTTTATTAATTTAAAAACTCTATTAAACACTGCTGTTAATAATTTTCCAGACTTTTATGATTTCAAAATTATACCCTATATTGACTTCAATTAACACATTTAACGACTAACATTAAAGTTATTTACATTTTTATAACATTTTCATCAAGCCAAGCAAACACAATAACAGAAGCATGAAATAAAAACAAAAATTTAAAATGACGCTCTTTTTATATACATAGGATTATCAATTTAATTTTTATGCTATTCACTCTGAGAAAAAAAAAATGAGTTAAAAATAATATTAAAAATTACTCTTTTAATTTTATCAGGGACGGCTAACTTCCAATAGTGATGGCAATGATTGCGCAATGTTAACTAAAACAATTTAGATGTACACAGATAGTGGCTATTAAGAAATTATGAGTAATTCAAATTTTTATCTCACTTTTGCTTTGACTCATTTCTCTATCTCACATCTTCAGTCAATTTAAATGTTAATTTTTTTAAACTAAATTTTTAGTTGAATTTGTTATTTCAGTTTGTCAAGCAGTGTTCCCACTCAGAAAAAACAAAATGTATCCAATTTCGAGAAAGAAATGTATCCAAAATGTATCCAACCTCGTAAAATAGCATTATTATAATAAGTCGTCTTATTTTGTACAAATTAACCCATAATTAATATTAATTTGCTTTATTCCACAATATGAGTTTTGTTATTTATACTAAATTCTTTAAGAAATCACATACAACTTCTATTATATTTTAAATGTGAAAGTTAAGGTCAGAAAAAACATATGCATATATGCCTTCTGTAGTTGTTGAACTATGCGGTAAAGACGATTGACCATGAAAACGGACAAATTTTAAAAAATATGTACATCCAATGCATTTTCTATTACATCTAGCTAACACTAAAATATTTTTGGTACGTTCTTGTATGAATTTTCTAAATTTGAATACAGAAAGAGGCAGTTAATAAAGTATCTTTTTTACTTTCTTGTAAAAAATTCGGAAACCTGCTTAGAATAGCCAGCAAATAACATTTATTGATGATAAAGCAACTTCGCGATTTAATATTAGCAGCATTTTCACTGTTTTGTAATATTTATTTAGTGTTTGAAAAAAAATGTATCCATATTCCAGCAAAATTTTAAAATGTAGCCAATTTCGGCATTTTAGCAGATTTGAGTATCTTTGTATTCAAGCTCAAATTTAAAGCAAAAATGTATCCAAATGGATACAATTGTATCCAAGTGGGAACGCTGTTGTCAAGTCTTTCTAAGAGAGGTATAAACTCTCTCAATTTATCTCTATCGCGTTGTTTCTTTATTTTCTCTCAGTTTATCACTTATTTAATTTTCGTTATTTATCTTCTCTGTTTTAAAATAAGGACCGAACAATATGATTTTTCAAAAAAAAAATTAGCTCATTCTTATTTTTAATTACTTAAAATTTTTGAAAAAGCGAGGTACATAATAAAAACAAAATTGATCCTGTGACAATTAAATGATTAGAAATTTATTTTATTCTTACCCGAAGTCAATTAAAAGGTGAGAAAGAGAATGTGATTCGAAAGATTGCAGTGTTGTTATTTTTGTTCATACTAGTATTTCATATAAAACTAGTGATTAATATTTGCCTTCAATAAAATTTATATGGCAATTTTTTATTTTTAAAGGAATATCATGATTATTTTAATACCCTAATTTGGCGATGCACAGGTTCTTTTTATTAATCCTTTATTTTAACAAAATCAGGACAAACTCTGAACTTTACAACTTACTTATTTACACGAGTTTATCTTACACCTTCTTTAAATTCTAGATTACTGTGTAGTCTTAAACTGATTCTGTTTGAATTGGTAATAGTTTTATATTAGGTCTATCAGATAAACTTCTAATTGTTTGAATACCATCCCAAAATGTTCACCATTTAAAAAATTATCTCTTTCTAGCATTTTAATATAATTATATAATGTACGTATGTACTTATAATTTTTTATTTATAAAATGAAGTTAGAAAGACTTTAAGAGATCAGAGTTTTTCTTTTGGGATTTCGAGAAAACATCATTTTATACGATACTTGTGCCTTTTTATGATTTATATAAAAACTAATAAATATTTTATGATCATTATAAAAATTTCATTATAATGTGAAGTTTTTCTCATCATTTCAATATAAGCTATTAATATATATATATATATGTATATATTATATTAAAAGAAAATATGTTGGAAAAATGCCATTTAATTTTTTCTTTGTCGTACTCTTCCTAAGACAAAACAAAATAGAAAAGTAATAAAAGGGCTTAAACAAAATTATATTGACAACAAAAAGAAAAATACCCCATAAAATCATTTATACATATTTACATAATTACATTACTGTACATAAATATATGTATATGGGCATATATTTATACAATAACAATCAAATTATATTTAACTATAATGTACATTTAATAAAATATGCTAAAATATGTTTAAAATATTTTAAAATTAAAATTTATTATTATTCAATTTTTATAAACAATATGTTTAAGAGTATGTATGTGGAAGTTATTCCATTATGTTAAGAAAAACAATAATATCTGAAACTAAATTGTAATCCGAAATAAATTTTAATT